AAGGAGGCTTGGATGTTTGTAAATTCTATACATACTTCAAGAAGATGGAACATTTCCAATAAGCCAGAGGGAATCATGGGGCATAAGAAGCGGAAAGGCAACAGCAGAGACTCAACCTCTGCATCCTGAGAAGGACTTTACAAGCCAAGCACAAACATGAACTCATGAATTCTTCAAAACTGCTGATGCATCAAAGGGAAGAGGAAATTCAGCCATAGAGATGAAGCTTCACTGCCACGGATCCATGTACACCTCTTAAAAATAAAGTTTTTTTGCTGCATAGATGGTTTCTTGAGGAACCTTTTACACCCATGGAATCTTTCCATTACACAAAAGGGTCCTTTATAGTGGAAAAAATGTTTATTAAATTATTAAATTGGTTATTAGATTATTAAAGGGGTCATATGATGCAATTTCAATTTTTCCTTTCTCTTTGAAGTGTTACAAGCTCTTGGTGCATAAAGAAGATCTGGTCCAGCCCGGGGTCGTCACATGTGGTTGCTGCAATCCCGCCGGCCGCGCCATTTTCAAGCCTACTGGCCTCCGCTCACTCTAGTCCGCGGCTTACTGTAGGCCGCCGCCACTCACTCAAGCCCGCCGTGTGTGATGCTGTGTTTCGTTGTGAAAGCGAAACTACTTTGTTTGGCCTTCAATCACAACGCACTGGATAGCTGGCCAATCAGAGCACACCTCGCTTTTCAGACTGATGAGCTTTGTAAAAATCGACGCGTTTCAGAAAGGCGGGGCATAGAGGAGAAACAATGTACAGTATGTGGAAAATAATGTTTTTTTCAACCTTAAACCGCATAAACATTTCATTACACAAAATAATGTTATTTTTAGCAACATCATATGACCCCTTTAAAATGGCATTTGTTTCTAAGAATTGTTCACTGAAATGTTCTTTGAAGAACCAAAATTTCTATTGCACAGCAGTGAAAACCCCCTTTATTTTTAAGAGTGAGGCTTTAGCTAATGGAATATTCAGCATTTGAAATCCAATATTTTATCTTCCAGTTTCAGTATGAAGAGCTTTGAAACTTTACTACAGCCACTTGTGTGTATATGTATGAAGTTCTGAGGGGTGTGGACATAAGATTTACTCAAATGTCACAAACAATGCAACCTGTCAATCCGAACGCTGCAGATTTTCCAATAGCAAACCCTACAAAGGCCTACTATTGAGGCGTGAACTGGTCTAGAAAGGCTGGTCTAGCAGAGCTGAACCATAATCATGGAATAATAGCACCTGAGATGGCTACAAATCAATTTTTGTACCAAACATGAACAATATACTTTTCAAATGATAATTTAGGCAATCTGAAGGAAGAAAGTTTGGGAGAAAGGGAGAAATTTTGTTTTTTTTATAAGTTGGTTTTCTTTTTAATTTGGGAAGACAGTTTCATGTCCATCTGAGACACTGAAAACACCAGATCACAAATTGCTCGTGTGTAAAAACACAGTGCTTCGCTTCACTCTGAAACATGCAGCCCATTTATTGATTTAATTAAATCTCACTAAGCCATATCACCATTTTATTTCGATTAATTGTGCTACTTCAATCTAAGCATATGAGGGGGTTTTGCATTAAACTGCAGACTAATTCTCCCCTTCTGCCCCATCGGCCAGTCCGGATAACCAGACACATGCACAAATATTTGCCTTCGTCTGGACAGACACATAAATGGGGATAATTTGAGAGCAGTCCCTCTCTAGTGTTGACAGCAGAGAATAGCGTGAGACTTTGCTGAAGCTGAACTTGCACAGACCTGATTCTACAGCAAGCCTTGACACGCAGCGTCGCAGCACCTTTACAGATGCAAACAGCACTGCAAGAACGCACAAACAAACACAATCATGGGATTCATTACATGGCACACATTGTTTGAGTTTTCCTGTCAGTGCACACTGTCTTCCCGCTGAAAGGCACAGGTGGGCATTACCTGTAGGCCACACCCACACTGCCAGGAAATGTCATTCACACAGTCAATCTCTGCTCTCTATATAGACATTTGCCTTGTTTAGTTGTTTTAAAATAAAAGTTAATTTACAGTGGGTACGGAAAGTATTCAGACCCCCTTAAATTTTTCACTCTTTGTTATATTGCAGCCATTATTTAAATTTAATAAAATAAAATTAAATTAAATTAAATGTAATTTAATTTAATTAAATACAACTAAAAATAACATAAAATAACATTTAATTAAATTAACGTAACTAAACTGCAACAGTCTGATTCTGGAAGTAAAAAAAAAAAAAAAAAAAACTAATTTTCTCCACATGGGAATTCATTTTTAACACTAACCCTTAAAGACACACCTTCTATGAGCTACAAGGTTGTTAATCGGTATATGCTTTTGTTTAACCGACAGTCCCACATTATTTTAACTAATTTTTAAAAGATTCATGTTTAACAGTGGAATTTTGGGGGGAAAAAACAATTATGCAAATAAATCTCCAATAATCAGAGTGCCTCAATGAGGAAAATCACAGCAACTCAAGTTGCTCTCAACTACTTAAATATTTTCATATATATGCACATTTTGCAATAAACAAACTAAATTGTTTCTATACATGTGAACTATCCCTTTAAATCAATCGTTTTATATATCTCTCTATAATTTTTAAAATATGTCATTTGCAGTGCTGCATTGTAGTTCTTAACCCTCATTAAAGCTATAGTCTTGTACCTTTGTCTTTTTGTCCGATTTTCAAGTTTTCTGCTTCATGTCAAAGTTGCAATGTTGTGATCCACCTTGAAGCTGGTTAGTTTGGTGCTTATAACTCTTTTTGTGAAGACTTATTTATTCTTTTTTTAAATCCCAGTTGAAAAGGATGGCAAAAATCCTTCCAGAACCGAGGTGACTGAAAAGTGAACAGGCACTTTTGCACTTTATAGAAAGGCAGTTCATACAAATCAAACACAAGTCTTCTGAATCATTTTGTTTGCTTTGTGTGAGGAACGGACTGAAAATCTAACCATCAGTTAAACCTATCATAAGGATTCTTGCACACAAATCACACGGCTAAATTTACAGCGCTTCTATTGTTCTTTTTCTCATTTTTGAACGCAAATGACAGATGACAGAATCACCATTTTCGCGTGAACTATTGCTTTAACTGAAAACAGATCCCAACACACCAATCCTGGCACTGATACCAAGATTTTGAGACTCATCAGTCCTCATCTGTGAGAGAGTTTGCTGCAAATCTGACTCACACCAAGTGAACCAAGTGAAGCTGATTTACAAATGTTATTCACTCTCTGCTGAGTCATCTGGACAGACCACACAGATGAACTGGAGCATATATGAGCTGCAGTATGTAGAAGGCATTGTTCTCTTCAGCTATAACCATGCATTGATGGAGACACTCCTAAAGGTCGCCATTGTTACTGTGATGATTTATGCTTCAGAGGATACAGCTGAGTGCGTCAGATAATGCTTGCATGCTTCATTTCACCAGTGTAACATTACAGGTGTTATTATGTGCTGCCTCAAATAATAGTTAGTGGGGAAATATAAAACCGAATCTTCACAACAAACAGCTCAAACCGAAGCATAGAGACCATTTGAAAGATCAGAGTGTGAAAACGTGAACATGTCCAGATTTATAACGATTTCTATATCTGAACTAATCTTTATGAAAATAAAGAGGGCCAGTTCTTTTGTAAGACTGATTCATTCCAAATAAACACTGCAAGTGTGAACAAGCTCTGAACTTGTGAAAAGCTCCATGTTGTAATGATTTTATCAGATGATAAATCTATTGATTGATGAGTCAGTGTAATACAAAGAATCTAGTTTTGATGTACACTGAATGATTCCGCTGTATTTCTAGGTCACTAAACAGTTAAGCGAACTAGTGGCATTGATCACGTTACTCTTGTTACTCACACAGATTTTCTTGCTTCCACTGAAGCTCATTCTCAAATCATGATCAAAGTATTAAGTTAGAAAAGGATGTGCATTTTCAATAGTGGTCTCAGACTTTTGGACTCCACTGTAGATTATTATTTTCACATACATATTTTCACATATTTCATATTTTCACATTGTATTAACACAGTACTGCAAGGTATATAAAAAAAATAAAAATACAAAAACAAACACATACACACAGTGTTATTCAGGATGCAACCATCATATACATTAGTGAGGAAGACAATATTATTTCTCCACCCAGTCTCGGTCACATCCTTGGTATGTTTCTGTAATTTCTACATTTGTTGCTTTGGGACAAAATACATAGCCTAGTTATCACGATACACTTGAGAGGAATGTTATACTAGACATAAATTTAACACTTCAGGCATTATATTGCTCAATATTTACCTCATATATACTGTATATACCAATCAGTAAGAGTAAATTAGAGAGACACAGTTTGGAAGTTTGGATGTTAATTTTATCCAGATATTAAGACATTTATCAAATATTAAAAATTATATATATATTCTATGATGTATATGTTTTTGAATTCAGACTAAAAATCATTTTAAAAAATCTAAATGCTTACCTTTGACCTTTTTATTAACATTGAAGTTTAGGTCAAATAGAGTAACTATGATGAGAAAAGTGAATACATGATATATGTAAAGAAAGAAAGAAAAATAAAGAATAAATAAATATATAGTATATAGTAAATAAATTAATACTAAATAAATAGTAAATAAACTGAATTTGTAAAGGTTTTGAAATTATTAATTTGTGTCATTAAAAAAAAAGAATTTTAGAAACATTTTTCAAACGTTTCTAAAACCAAAATAATTATTCAGATTTAACATGGGTTTCAAATTACATTTTAAAATAACATTTTCTTTTAATAATGACCACTGTCACAGTCATTACCCCAGGTTTAGCGCGCTTGTAGCCAGTGGAAAGCAACAGTTCAAAGTTAAAGGTGGCAGGTGAACTTTGGTGAACTCGGGATGGATTGTACAATCATCTGCTCAGATCATGTAAGGCAGAAATGCAGATGTAACAAAAGATCAGACTCACCCACGAGCACACACACGACATCCATCAGCACAATAAACAACTTGTTCTTCTTGAGCTCTGACATGACTGTGATCTGCTCGGCTCTTCTGGGCTTGATTGCAACTCAAGTGACTCGTGTGATAGTTGATGCGCGTGTTCTTCCGGGTGCCCTGTGTCACCTGCGTTAAGGTGCGCTGATGATGTAACGCGTCCGCGCTCGCGCTGCGTAATTTCACGGACGCGAGTGAACGAGACGCGTGAAGAGTGAAGAGTGAAGACTGAACCACGAACAGTTTGAAGCGACTTTACTCGCCCAGGTACACGCCCACTGCTGACGTCATCGGTGTGTTTTCTCTCT